TGTCGTCCTGAAACCCTGTCCCACCTAATCCCTCAAGTCCAGCTTCCACGTATAGAAACACAGGAGACATACCAAACTGCACTACAGGTATGACCTGTGGAACCCAAGCTCAGCTTTACTGGCTAAATCTTATCTTACATAAATTCAAAGACAAAAAGGGGAAAGATATATGGGGGGGGGGAAATCCCTACACATTTTAAAACCCATATATCCAATCAATGTCTCAAATTAATGATTCAACTAAGTGAACTTTGAAAAGAAACATTGCAATACTAGAAAAAAAATTGAACACTGAATATTTGATATGAGTAAATTGTTTTTAAATTTTAGTTTTAAACTGGTATGGTTACATTTATCAAAAAAAAATTTTAAAAGTCCTTATGTTCTGAGACACATGCAGAAATCCAGACAAGATAATATATGGTAAGAATGTTCATGAGGATGGTACAGAATAACAAGATTGGCTACAAAATGATAATTATTATTGATGACTAACATAAACACTGTGGTCTGCGATGATATTCTTTTTATTTTGTAAGTGTTTGAAATTTTCCATAGGGAAAAAAATTTTTTAAATGATAATTTCCCTTCTTACAAACTCTATACCCTGTCTCTGTGAATGAGCATACCTCAAGAACTGTAAGTATCAACATTTCTGTTTATCTCAAAGTGTAAGATCTATTAATATATACTCCTTTTCATGTTTGTAATTCACTAAAAGAACCTGTCAACTATGAAAGACATTAGTATTTTTGACACAAACTATATAATGCATGTTTTTTTCTTTTATATATTGTTGTGGGTGTGCCTCCAAGAGCTGAACTACCAAGTTATAAGATTAAAAATCAACAGTATGAAAAATAATAACATCCATTGTGTCTATTGGGAATTATTAAACAGTCATTTAGGATAAGTACTGCCATTTTGTATGCTACTTGACTCTCACTTGCAATGAAGTAAAGGTCCAGTATTGGCTTCAATAACCCAAGATTATGCATTTCAGCTGACAGCTGAATTTTGTCCACAGTCACTCAAAGGCCAGGGAAAAGCCAATGTGAGTTCCAAAAAATTAATTATTATTTCTAAGAGATTTTGCCACAAGGTTAACGAGGACATCATACGGTCAACATAGGATTGATCATGACTTGCAAAGAACAAACATCTGAGAAGTTTAATTTATATCTTATCCAGAAGTTATCTAGCATATATTTCAGATAAAATGTTATAGTTCTTTGTGAAATTGTCTGCTAACCTACATAATATACATGCAGAGAGAAATGATTATACAAATGTGATCTGTATAAAGAAATTACTTTGTGAAATAACTGAGAAATATAATTTTATATAGAAATCAATGTTATCCTTTATTCCATTTTTAAATTGGAAACATGACTTTTTTATTTAATTCATGAGTTATTCATTTCTAAAGACTTCATACACTAAACCACAAGAAGTAAATTTAATTTCTTAGTCACAGGCTCCAAATGAAATTCCTAGCATTTTGATCAAAGAATGACAGCAGAGTAGTTGAAAAGATACTGTAAAAAGGAATCTTGTGCTGTAGGTGTGGTCTTGACAAAGCTCTCATATACACTGGGGCATTTCACACTCTTCAGATCTCCAGTTACTTTACTTTCCATCAGAGGAGAAAAGCAGACTAGATATCAGCTTAAGTAGCTTCCAATGTGCTACAAAAGTGATTGAAATGATGTCTATTGATAAATTAGTAGTAGAAAAAATGATTAACATCGTGAAACAATATAAAATTCAAAGTTTTACACAAAAGTGCATAATGCACTTTGTTCTTTAATTCAGAAAAATTGTTTTAATTAAAAATATTATAGAAATCTATTATACGTTAACAAAACATTACTACATACAAACTATACTACATTAAAACTAACTGACTTTTAGGTTTGACATATATATCTTTTGACTCATATATATAACACATTTATATATATATGACATGTGTGTCTATACATACATATAGATACAGCATCCAGGAGTTCTTTATATCATGTACAATAAATATTTTTATGAATTGCAGATATAAAACAAATCATTATTGTGGTTTTAGTAAAATACTATGTGGAAGCATCTTCAAGATTGTCTTGAAAGTGATTCCCTTATAATATATTGCTCTTAAACTTAAAACTTTACAGATTATTATCTAAGATCCCGCTGCTTTCTCCTCCACAGCCCTGATTCCTTCAGCTCACACAGAAGTTGAAATTATTCATATCAAAGTTATTGGTGGAAAAAACACATTTTAGATCTTCAGTTGTAGATAAACAGACTTTTAAAAGAATTAACATTATTTAATTCTTAATTAAATATTGCCTGAAGATGCAAATAATCACAATAGTGTGAAACTAAATCAAATGAAATAATCATGGTTGAATGTGATTTACTAAAGCTAAAGCATGGACTTCATCAAGTAAAAATTAATGCTAACTTTAGTCATAATAAGAGAATATCTTACAATTCTTGCATGGCTTTAGAAATTGAAGTTTTTCTTAGTACTTCTCTATCAAACAGGAAATAGTGAACAAGAATTTGCCAAAACTGAAGTTTTCATTTAAGGAAAATAACATTGAAAAAATTTACCTCTTGGCCCAGACATGCCTCAAATACCTAAATGTTAGTATTTTTCTATTGGAAAAGATAATGTTAAACTTTCTTATGTGTATTTTTTTCTAAATCAGGTTTTTATTTTTAAAATCAGCATGTTTATGTTCTTTACTGGGTTATAACAGAAAAAGGTGCTAATGTAGCAGATTACAGAAATCATTTGAAAATCCCATAAAGTAAAAGAAGCCAGTCCATAACTTTATTACACGAAATGCCTAGAATGGGCAGATCTATAGCATGAAATGAGTTTGCGGCAACAGAAGCCACAGGGGTCACGGGGTCAGGAAAATGAGTTCTGACTGCAGGTGGCTACCAGGTTCCTGGGAGGCTGATATAAATGCTCTGAAGTTGATTAGGGTGAAGGTCATACAATTCTGTGAACCTATTAAAACTATTGCATTATATACTTTAAATGTATGAATTATACGGTATGTGAATTGCATTTCAATAAATCTGCGAAAATACGTAAAAAGCAAAGAAAGATCGATTTAATCAAAAGGATTAGGGCAGTTATGCCTTCCAATTTAACTGGAAGTTGTAAAGAGCTTCTGTTTGGAGCTCTCTTAATCCAGCAGACTGAGCCTGGCAGGGCCTGGGCTTCTTTTGTCCCATTGGAGCCCCTGTTTCAGGAAGAATCCGAACCCCGCTCACTCACTTCTTACGTGTGACATGATCTAACATCCAGAGTGGGGCTCAGCAGGGAGCAATGGGGCTCCGCAGGGAACTCTGCTTCTCACACTCACAACTGAAAC